AGCTATCAACTAAAAACCATAAAATGTTATTTATACTTCATAAGCAAAACAGCAAACAGACTTGTTAAACGAAAAGAGGAAAAACAGCGAAAATACAAAGCATCGCCCTAGCTGACAGCCAACTGCAACTGTCCTAACGCTTATATCTATGACAGCTAGGCGCCAAATTGTTGGCGCCTAGACTCTAGTGGGCAATGCGAAGTGAACAAGTCACTTAATCTCTACCAACCAATGTTCTCCCACGACGCCCATCACCATCGCAAACCCCAACATTTACCTTTTGTAAATATGTGATTTTGTTCCTTAGCAGAAAAGACAAAGACTTTTGTTTATTTTAAAGACGAAATCCATTTCCACCCACTAGCTGGTTTCTCATAGTACCAAGTGAAGCAGGTATCAAATGCACGGATGGTCCTGACGACGTATGTGGAAATGAACGGATGGGAACTTTTATTCTATAGATAACAACAATAGGAGCCACCAACAATGTAGACAACAACATGTAACAACAACAATTTTACAGGTCTATATCATATAGAAGCGATAAAACAAAAAGAAAAACTTCTAATAAAATCTCAATAAATTCAAATGGAGATTCAGTTCTTTCTATTTAATTGAAAAACAACAAAAAATGAACAATAATCGTTCAGCTGCTATGGGTAATGAGCAGGTTGACACGATTGGAATGCGCAAATTAACTCATGACGACAGGGCTAGATACTTTGTCATGTGTTTCTTGTCCTTTCTTTTTGGTTTCTTTGCAGACACATCACTAGCCAATGATTCCTGTTTTCTTTTTTCTAGCTTCTTCTTACCCGAATTCTGAAAAAGAGATTTCGTAACAGGTAAAGCAAGATGTTGCCTAATATTAACACTAGTCCCCAAAAGCAGAAGACTATGATTTGAAAATATGTATCAGATAGGCTTCCGCATGACTCTTTCTTCAACGAAAGAGCATTCCTTTCAATGACGTGAGCACCAGAAGCGGTAATCTACGCAATGACTATCTTAGACCCAAAACCAGATTAGAGTTTTGCAACGCACCGAAATTATCATCTAGGTGAACCTTAGCATACACAGCACAGACCATTATGCAGCGCTTGCAAAACAAGATTTGTAGTTTAACTAGTCAACAAACTCTTATTTCTTCACAATTTCACACACTGTGAGGAGAAAAGAACCGATTTTCTTGTTCACAATGAGACCTAGCTTAAAAATTACTATGGACTCACAAGTCACGTCGCGAACCCTCACCCCGCCCCTTCTTCCTCTTCTTGACAAAAACATGTTCAGTTTCTAAACAGAGAAACTCGCACCTATGAGACGTTTCAGAGCTAAGTATCAGATTCTAGGTCCCAAAAAGAAACTTAAGAGCCCTTTAGAAAGATCACAATGATTGCGAACATTAGAAAAACACATTTTCACATTCCGCACTGTTGAAGCAACGTTAAAAGTCACTAATAAATATATAAGACTTGCAGCAGATAGCAACTTATGTAGCTTGCTGTCG